TAAACACTCAAAGAGCCACAAAGGTCCTAACCGGAAGCCCCCCCATTCAATTATGGAGCTGGCCAGAAGTTCAGTTCTCCCATCATAGAGTCTCCTCCTAGTGCAGCATCCTTTTTCCTCTGCTGACCGGAAGTCCAGTTCCCCCAAAATAGTGTGTCCTCCTAGCGCAGCGTTCTTTTCCTCTACCTGCCCTAACCGAAAGCCCTATCAATTGTGGAGCCAACCAGCGACAGAGAGCCGCAGCAGAGGGATGAAAGAGCCACATGCGGCTCCAGAGCCACAGGTTGCTGACCCCTGACTTAAACTTATATACTGCTTTACAGTGCTTTACAGCCCTCTCTAAGTGGTTTACAGAATCAGTGTATTGCCCCCAACAATCTGGGTCCTCATTTTACTCACCTTGGAAGGATGGAAAGCTGAGTCAACCTTGAGCTGATGAGAATTGAACTGCTGAACTCAGACAGCAGAAGTAGCTTGCAATACTGCATTCTAACCACTGCACCACCATGGCACCTATATATGTGAAATAAGGATTAGTATGGCAGCCCAGATCTTTCTTATTTAAAGATCTTTTCTTGTGGAAAAAAAAAAAAGAATTATGACATGAGAAATGGGGATGGGGGAGGAAATTATATGAAATCAATAATAACCAAAAGTCACAATTATCTGTGGGCCTTCATTGATTGGCAAGAAGATTGATTTTAGCATATGTTCTAATTTTCAATTAAAACTGTGTAGGAAAACTCACCAAACTATACTTAAAGATAAATGAATAACCTTATGAGCAATACTTCTTACTTTGTAAAATTGTTTTAAAATATTTGTTTTTCCTGGTACTTCTTGGACTGGTCATGCAATTATGAAATATTGTTGATGACAGCTGCCTGTAGGGACTGGGCTCTGTTGTTGCTCCTAGTCAAGTGGCATTGATGGTTAAGAATGTTTTTGTTGTGACAACTGGGCCATTTCCCAAAGAAGGTGGACTTGGCCAAAGTAGACCACATTCATTTAGAATATTATACTGTCCTCCATGAAACAAAAATGAATATTCTTAAAGAGTTGTTCTCTTGTGTATATCTTTGTGTCTATATGTAGTTTACAAATCAGCTTTTTTGGATGAGCTCTATTGCTAGTGTTTTGAGAAAAAATTTCTCTCCATTCCATCTATGATTTTCTATGTTGATTACAGCCCTTTTATTTACCTTTTCCAAGCAACAGAGCCACAAACATTTCGGCCTTTTCTCATAAGGAAAGTGTTTCGGACCCCCAATAATTTGGCTTGCTCTCTTCTTCACATTTTCCAACTCTAGTAAACAACCTTTACAGATGTGGCATACAGCTATAGGCAGAATTCCAGAGGCATATATAAACTACAAACACACTAGGGTGTAACCCATTTTATTTTCAGTCTATTTCCTAATGATTTCCAGCATGGCATTTGGCTTTTTCACAGTAACTGCACACTGAACTGACATCTTCATTGTCCACTATGACGCAAGCATATATTTTTTTCTGGTTAATTACAGACCGCTCAGACCCCATTAATGTGCATGTGAAGTTAGTGTATTTTGCCCCATTGCACATCACTTTACACTTAAATCAAACTGAACTCGCCATTTAGTTGACCATTCACCTAGTTTACAGAGATAGAGAAGCAAACAATTTTCCATGATATTCTTTTTTGCTTAAAAAATAATAATTCTTCCAAAAGCTGGCAGAAAAATAGTTCTGGGTGACAGGATAAATTCTAAAATGTAGCTCAGTGAGATCCAAACTTCAATCACAGGTGACTTAATCAAGATAGGAATTCTTTTTAAAAATCACCTTATTTACTTCCCACAAACCAGAAAGCCTTCAAAGGTCTTTGGCAATAATATAAGAAAGAAGGAAAATCAGTTTTTTATTTCTTGGGAAAAAGCTCTCTAATCTGCTGCTTGGCTTTAGCAATACAAAGTGGGAAAGCAGCCCAGTGAGCTTCCAGCTTGCTAACAGTTTATCTAAGTTAGTCAGGAAGACCATTCTACTCAGCTAGCAGCAGGGCACTTTTGGTATGCAAAATACTCACTTTCTTTCCTACCCAAATAGTTTTAAGCTGCAATAAATTCATCTGACCCAGCCGGTAACAAATGAAGCAGCTCCCATTAGGTCTAGAAGGCTTATCTTCTTTAGCAGGTGTCTCAGGAAATAGAATGAGACCACTAATTTATATTCAGGTTTCTGCTGATAACTTTGACAGGTAGGGCAAATAAGAATCATGGGGACTTCACAGACATTTGAGACAATGATATATAATATGTCATAGTGGCCAAAGACAACTTTGGCTACGTTGCCATTCCTCTTTCCCATGAGGGAAGCCATCATAATTATTTCAGTTTGATGGTTTTTATATTTGAAAATGTATTTATGCAAATACAAAGATGTGATTTTACACACAAAGAGGAAGAGGAAAAGAGGAAGAAGAAAACAGTTGAATAAAACAATTGAGAAAAATAGAACTGAGCCCTATAGAATAGTGAATATATGAATACAGTCTAGGAGAGACAAAGATAAGCCTGTTAAGAATAAGCATTTCAGAACGGAGAAATAAGAATAGTATGCATCCATCTGTTCAATAATAGATTCAGTTACATTCAGTTCAGTTATGGTGATGGGTGCTCTATTGGAGATAGATCTTTATGGAGAAAATCTATTTTTGTGACCACTAAGAATTGTCACTGACTTGAGAGCAGATAATCAATCAACAATCAATGTGTTTACCACATGATTGTGTTCCTATCTACCAACTTTTTTTCATAACTTCAACAGCTGAAGCCATATCATTAAGACAAAATTGTTGCAGGTGCAATAAATCATTAGGTGGCTTTTTACAGTATGGCAGAGGTATTGTCTCACCAACAATGTTCATGAAATAGCTGTCAGTCCAAACATTTGTACATAAAATTAGAAGAGGCTATAATTTTTCCTTTGCCTTCCCTTTAGTAAGCACAAAATCTCAAGACAGCATTTCCTTAGACCAAACTGGATTAATTTGGAGCTGTTTCTCTAATATGCATCTGTTCTTTGTTAATAAGAATGCTCTCTCCAATTTCATATTAATCTTTCTCTGGAGTTCTAAACTCTTTTGCTTTTGTTTCTGAAGAGAAATCAATATGTTTTGATTTCTCCATTGTTTTATCTTCACTCCCCTGAAGCAATTTTATTTAGAGTACTGTGAATGTGGACTTTGTTCTAGTTTAAATACAATTGTTCCATTGTATCTTTTTTTTACCATGTACTATCTTGATATAAGTGTAGATGTAGATAGATATAGGTGATAGAGATAGATTAGATAGAGATAATTGAGACAAAGACAGAGACAGAGACAGGAAGATAGGGAGATAGGGAAATAGGTGATATAGATATAAATAGACAGTAGATATAAAGATAGACAATAGATATAGATAGACAGTAGATATAGATGTAAATACAGATACAGATATATATAGATAGATAAAATCCTGCAAAAAGAGTCAGAGGTAGGCAGATATACAAATATGATAAATAAATGAACAGCTATTTTCAAATTGTTATACCAGTACATATGGCTGCATCAATATATATATATACTGACTTTTTAAACATTTTTACCAGTTTATAGCTTAAAAACAATTTTCATACAATTGAAAACAAAGAATTGAATACAATGATGTACTTTTATATTGGGTTTTATTTTTGTAAGCCGCCCAGAGTCATTGTGTGTTAGTGGCTATATATATTTTTAAAAAATAAATAAAATGAATAAGTTTAGTACAGGCTGGGGGTCATGCTTCCTTATTTAAGTATCCTCTATCCCACTCACCCACCCCATCAGAATAACCATCTTTGCCTTGCCCAAAGCCTTTCATTGGAAACCATGGACTGAGTAACATCTCTCTTTTCTTGATCACATTCCATGGTATCTCCTGACACTTATTGGCAAAATGGTGATAATATTGAATGATATTGTGAAGTAAAAATGGCGTCTAACCTTTTCTGTTTAGCCTAAACCTACAAATCCTTATACTGAATAAATGAAATGCTGGACTTCGTGCAGGCTACATTTTATTCTCTAACTTTTGATCTATGGCTGAGGTTTATGCAGTTGTGGTAAAGCCAAGCTAAAATGGAACATGAAATTAAAATGTGCTGAAATACAAATCAATCGGTGAGCAGCAGTAAATAAAAGTCCTCAGCCCTCCTACAGGTGAAGCTTCACATCATTTCCTATGCCAAGGAGCAAAGAATAACATCTCAAAAATGTAAGTAGGGCAGCCGAGTTATTGGAAAATCATTAGCTTATTATTTGTTTGTTTAACCTGCTTGGTTTCCAGCATGACTGCTTCTGGGTGATGATGTATCAGCTCCAATCCATTGCATGTAAATATTAACTTAACACTTGGATATGCACATATTTATTCAAAGACCCCACACACCACTGGGAGAACTAATAGTGTAGAAAGAGAAAAGCAAAGCAAAACCAAACCAAAAACTGGAGCGGTATCAAAAGGCATATTTACGAAGATAATGATACAGAAGAGCTTAAGCCTCCAAAAATATTCTACTGCTACCAAACGTGAGATGGCAAAACTGCTCCCTTGAGCCAAATACTCCAAAGCAATAAACCAAGCCTCCACAATTCTGTTCTCCTGGGTTCATCTGTTCCTTTGAAAGGGTCATTAGTACAATCCTAGTTGAGCTATACCTCAATGACTAATGAATTTTAAGGCCTCATTCCCTTAAATTGTGGAGCATCCCAATTCCCCAAACTTCTTATTACAGTTTGCATTGCCTTGTAAAAACCTTTTTTAGAAGCTACAAATTGGAACCATGTTTAAAAAACTTAGCATTCTAGAAGATGAACCATTATAACAGCCACTCTCAGGTGGTGTGAAGGACTGAGGCTAATGGAGTGGCAGCCAGCAGTTCCAAAGCTTGAAAAGGCTTTTATGTAAAAACATCTCAGCCACCTCCTGAAACCACCATTAATCTGAAAGTGTTAGGAGGAAAAAGCTCAAAGCTTAAACATATGAAAGGAGGAAGAAGATTTGAAAGGAGGAAGAAGAAAGGCAAGATGCCGGTCAAACTCCTGCCCCAATTGGATGTGTGCATAATATTGATCTTTAGAACATAAATATAAACATTTTTTTGGGGGGGGGGAAACAGTTGGCAAACATACGTTAACTTTGAGCTTCATTTTTGACTGCAATAAAAATTCTAGTTTATCCATGTTATACTTGCAAATCATCTGCAAGTCTACAGATGAATTAAGTGTTAAGGTTCTGGAGATCTATGATTTATTGCTGTGGCTGGTCTGCCATCTTGGTTGCTCATTCTTATTATTCCCATTATTACAGGTAGGAAGGTGTGGCCTAAAAATCAAAGAATAACTCAATGGCTATAGAACCTCTAGTCTGAGAGCAAATTTCAAGGATCTTTTCAAGAAAGTGACTGTCAGCTACGTAGATAATCCATCACTTATAACATAATACAGATTTTGTGCAGGAATGTATGTTCAGAAGTGAAACTGATTAATTCAAAGACAGACTATCAGGAGAGAATACATGACAACTCCCTCATCAAGGCATCCTAAAGACAACAAATACATTCGTCTACTGCTTTAAAATCTGTGGAATTGTAGCAAAGTGTGAAGATGAAGATGAGAAGTCATTCTTGTTTCACCATACCATCTCAGAGATTTTAAAAGTTAGACTCTTCAGCTGTAACCTGGCAAAGCTCCACTATCTCCCAAGGGCGGATGGGGGGAAGGTTCACAGAAGCTTGATGCCTACATTGTGCCAATGTCACACACACACAAACACACACACACACAAACAAACATTGGTCCCTAGGTCCATCTCATTCCAAAAGCACTAAAATGTCATATTTGTGGGGAAGGGGAACATTTTGCTCAGAAATGCCCAAAACCCTTCCAAATCTGATTTATTAGAAAGTGAACAGTCCCAGCCTTATACATCTGAGAGGCTGGGGCAAGCAGAAATTAAGTGAAATCAAGACATGTGGAAATGTGCATTAATAATGAGTCATTTTTGTTGCCCTATTGTAAGGTGACCAGATTTTAACATTGGTAAAGAGGGACATTGTGGGCGTGGCTTATTTTGTGGGCGTGGCTAGCTGGTCATGTGACTGGGTGGGTGTGGCTAGCTGGTCATGTGACCGGGTGGCCATGGCTATGTGTATAGGGTAAGGTGAACAGATTTTAACATTGGTAAGAGGGACACCATTGTGGGCGTGGCTTATTGTGTGGGCGTGGCTTGGAGGCCATGTGACTGGGTGGGCGTGGCTAGCTGGTCATGTGACCGGGTGGCCATGGCTATGTGTATAGGGACTACTCAGAGGGCTGGAAAGTCATTTCTGACAGGTCCTCACACTTTTGACTGGTCCTCACACTTATGACCATCCTCACATTTATGCCCGTGCAGCATTCTTAACAACCATGTCACTCATTTCACAACTGCTTCTCTTCACCATGATGACAAGATAGGGCAAAAATGTAAAATGTGAGGACAGTCGTAAGTTCGAGGACTGGTCAAAAGTGCGAGGACCAGGCGGGTAATTAGGGAATTGAAGAAACAAGAGATGTGAAATGTTATAATTGTTTAGATTAGGATTGATTATGATTGTTGAAGTTTATACCCTGTAATTTGTTCTGGGAAGGGGAGGGGGGGAGGGGGGAGGTTGAGGTAGGGAAGGGGGGGGGAAATATGTAAACTTTTTGTAAAACTTTTCAATAAAAAAAAAAAGTGCGAGGACCAGTCAAAAATAACTTTTTCAGCCCTCTGAGTAGTCCATATGCATAAAAGGATACAGTAATTGAGAGGGGTGAAGGAAGGGAAGGGAAATTAGAGTAGGAGTGACGGTTAAGAGAGGGAGGAAGAGAGGAGGAGAAGGAGAAAGGAAGAGGAAGTAGGGAGGAGAAGAAGAGGGGGGGAAGAGAAAGTAAGAAGGAAAGAAAAGAGAGGTGGTAGGTTTGAGGAGAAAGATTGCTGTACAATAAAAAAGATGAAAGGGAAGAAAGCCAACCCCAAACAAATATAAAGATATTAAGATAAAGAATGAATTGTTAAACTTTAAAGAATAAAAGAGAACAAATATGAATAAATAGCAATAATTAGAAACACACATACATACAATGTATTTTCTTTGAACAGAATATTTGGCTGGTTCACAAATTTAAACAGTGTTTAGTCATTTCAATTAAATTTACAATTTCTATATTTCCTTTTTGCCATATTTATTCCTCATCTATTTTTTTAAAAAAACAATATTACCCTTCATCCTCATCTCTAATCTTAATCAAATTCAATTTTTCCCTTCTATTCTATTTTACCCCTTCCCATTGTCATCTATTTTTATATCCATCCTCACATTGGTTAATTATGTAATTATGTAATACAGTTGTTGAATACAAATTCAACATTTTTATATAAATCAATTAGTTATATAACTACCTTTTTTGTATATTAATCAATATGAACATGAATATTCCAATTATTTCCATGCAATCCAATTTCTTACAAATCAATTAATTATACTTACCAATAATAATAAACCAAATAATTTCCCCCATATATTCCTCCAAACCACAACTTAACCATTTCTGCTTTCAACACAGTATACAATTAATAATATCTCAATTATTACAATTCCCTAGTTAAAAAGAGCTTTTTTTTCTTTTGTGTTTTAAAATCTTGAACTCTCCTCTTTTGCCGATTACTAAAGAGATTACTAAATTGAGGAGGAGGAGAAAGCAGGAACTGGATATGGGGTATCAGGCAGAAACAAGCATTTAATATAAGCATTCTGAATTTTGAAACTCTGGACTGAATTGCAGATGCAGAGGAAAATGGCAAAGAAGACCAAAGGTTCTTGAAGTCCCCCAAAACATTTAATTTAAGGGCTACCTTTGTTAGATCAGGCGCAGGAAAAGAAGACTGGACCAGCTCGATACATTTAGCAACTTTTATTCAGTACAAAGTAACGAGTCAAGACTGCTGGCGCGCTGCCGGAGCTCTCCTTATATTCGCTCCCGGCAGACGCACCGCCCCTTGACAGGGATTCAAATCTCCCGCCCGATGGCTGGCAGCCAATCAGGGCGGATGTCCTTATAAGGACATAACACTCCTCCCCCCTTAGTCCGAACTGTCAATCTCGTCCACAAAAGTCACGTAATCGCGCAGGTACGTAGGACGCCTCGGCACCCTAGCTGACCTGCGCAGTCTCACTTCTCCTCCGTCTCCAACCTGGAAGGACGGGGCTCTTTCGTCTCCTGGTTCCCTCTCCGGAACCGGGCTCGGTTCGGCTGTCGAGTGAGCGGGGCCACCCCCAGCGCCTCCGGCCGGACCGCAGACCTTGGATGGCTGGTCTTGGTGGTCTTCCTCCTGGCCTGTGGATCTCTCGCCTCGTCTCGGTTGCTCGGTTCCGACCCGGGAAGAGCGTCTGAGTCTCGGTAAGTCCATTTCTCGCTCCTCCCTGGTCTCCCGGGCGCTGTGGTTCGGTCTCGGTCCGGCTTGCTGCCGCTCGGTTGGTGGTTCCACTCGGTTCGGGTGGTGTTGGCTTGCGTTGTTGTCGTTGTGCCGTCCAACCTCGCAGGGGTGGCGTTGGTCCCCTCGGTTGGGCTGGCGTTGGTCTACCTCGTCTGGTCGGCGGTGGTCGACCTGGTTGGGGTGTTGTTGCGGCGCTACCTCTGCGGGGCGGCGGAGGTCTCCCCTGCCGGGTTGGTGCAGGTCTCCCTGGCCGGGTTGTTGTCGGCTTCCCCTTCCCCCTAGTCCCTGGTCTACCGTTGGTTGGTGCCTGGGGCCATCCGGGTCGGGGTGTCGTTTCTTGGCTGTCTTCTGTGATGGGCGGGGGTCCCCCACGTCGGTGAGTCGTGTGCCACCCTCGCCCGTGGGTCGTGGGGTGCCCGTCTTGGCTGGGTCCCGGTCTACTCGCCTGGAACTGCAGTCTCCCTGGCTGGGCTGGCATAGGCTGCTGTAACTGGTGGGGTGCGCTGCTCCTCCTCTGGGCAGGTCCCGGTCTACCTGCGGGCTGGGTTGGTGGTCCCTGGCCTTGCCGTGCCTGGTGCCCACCTGGCTGGGTTGGTGTTGCCATCCCCCGTGCGGTTGGCCCCGGTCTACCTCGCTGGGCTGCCGACGTGACAGCATCTGGTAGTGGGCTGGGCCGACCTTGTCGGGGTGGTGCTGCTCTGCCTCGCAGGGGTGTGGTAGGCCTACCTCGTCGGGGTGTCGCAGGCCTACCTCGCCGGGGTGTTGTAGGCCAACCTGGTCCGGGTGTGGTAGGTCTACCTCGCCGGGGTGTTGGAGGCCTACCTCGTCGGGGTGTTGTAGGCCTCCCTCGTCAGGCTGGTTTTCATGTGCTCCCCCCCACCTTTTTCGGAGTTGGTCGATGTGGCGTCTCGTGAACTGTCCATCTTCCAACTCGACGATATAGGATTTGGGGCCGGTTGTGCTGGCAATTTTCCCCTTCAGCCATTCAGGAGAGCCGCTGAAATTCAGCGCGAAAATTGAATCTCCGTTGCTGAAGGCGCGAAGCGGGCGGCTGGCGGTTGCGGTCACTTCCGGGCTGTATTGGGGGTGCAGCCGGTCCAATGGTGACCTCAACCTTCTGCCCATCAACAGTTCGGCCGGGCTCTTGTGGGTGGTGGCGTGTGGCGTGATGTGCTGGGTGAGGAGGAAATTGTCTATGCGCTCTTGCCAGTCCCCCTGGCCCATCTTGGTGAGGGCCTCTTTGGTCAGTCGGACCATGCGTTCAGCTTGTCCGTTTCCGGCCGGCCTGTAAGGGGCGGACAGGGCGTGGCGGATGCCCAGTCCTGCCAGGAAAGACTCCATTGCCAGGGATGTGAGCTGGGGGCCGTTGTCTGAGACCAGCACATCCGGTAGACCATGTGTGGCAAAGAGGTGGCGCAGGGCTCGGATCGTTGCATCTGTTGTGGTAGATGCCATGGGCACCACCTCGAGCCATTTGGAGAAGGCATCTACCACAATGAGGAGGTGTCGCCCTTGCATCGGACCTGCGAAGTCAATGTGGATCCTCGACCAGGGGTTGCTGGGGGTCTCCCACTTCGCGACTTCGGATTGCGGCGGCGCTGGGCGAACTTCTTGGCACGGGTCACATCTGGAGACCCATTGTTCAATGTCTCTGTCCATGGAGGGCCACCAGACATAACTCCGTGCCAGGGCCTTCATGCGGACGATGCCCGGATGCCCCTTGTGCAGGGTCTCCAACGTCCGCCATTGCAGAGTGCTTGGGATCAGCACCCTGTCTCCCCATAGCAGACAGCCTTTTATGGTGGACAGCTCCTCCTGTTTCCTGGTGAACGGGCTGAACCTTTCCTCTGGCTTTTCCGCTGGCCACCCTCTGAGGATCCAGGACTTCACTTGGCAGAGTGTGGGGTCCTTTTGGGTGTGGACGGCCACATCTGTGGATGACACCGGGCAGCTGGTGTCGTCATCAATGTGAAGTAGGTGGAGCGTGGGGGCTGGGTCTTCGACCGGCTTCTTCGACGGGCATCTGCTGAGAGCGTCAGCGTTTCCTATGGCTGTGCCTGGCTGGTGCACAAGCCTATAGGAGTAGCCAGCTAGGAAGATGGCCCATCTCGTCATTCTTGGGGACATGAAGGTCGGGGTTGGTTGGTCGCCTGCGAGGAGTCCCAGGAGAGGCTTGTGGTCTGTGACTATGGTGAAACGTCTTCCGTAGAGGTATTCGTGGAAGCGCTTCACTCCAGCCACGATGGCCAGGGCTTCTTTGTCCAGCTGGCTATAGTTCCGTTCTGCGCCGGACATAGTCTTTGAGAAGTACGCGATTGGGGCTTCTGAGCCATTGGGCAGTTCGTGGCTGAGAACTGCCCCCACCCCGTAAGGCGACGCGTCGCAGGTCAGTCTGATGGGGAGCGTCTCGCTGTATTGGATGAGGACGCTTTTGGACGTCAATAGTCCTTTGATGGCCCGGAATGCCGCTTCCTCTTCCTGGCCCCACTTCCAGGAAGCCGATTTCCCCAACAGGCGGTGGAGTGGCTCAGCAACTGTGGCTTTCTGTTTTAAGAAAATGGCGTAGAAGTTGAGCAACCCAAGGAAAGCCTGAAGCTCCGTTTTGTTTTTTGGACTTGGAGCTTCATGGATTGCTTCCACTTTTGATTTGGTGGGGTGTATGCCTGTGCTATCAATGAGGAAGCCCAGGAACTCGACTTCCTGTACTCCTATGATGCACTTGTCCCGCCTGACCCTCAAACCCTTGGCCTTGAACCGCTGCAGGACAAGCCTGAGCCTTTCAAGGAGTTGGGCTCTTGAGTCACCGGAGATGAGCACATCATTGAAGTAAGGCACCACCCCTGGAATGCCTTGGAGAAGGCGTTCCATCATGGATTGGAAGATACCAGGGGCAGCGCTGACTCCAAATTGGAGGCGGTTACATTTAAATGCCCCTCTGTGTGTGACAATTGTTTGAGCCTCCGCCGTTTTGTCATCCACTGGCAGTTGCTGGTAAGCCTGGGCCAGGTCCAGTTTCACGAAAATTGATCCAGATCCCAGGGAATGCAGCAGATGTTGCACCACTGGGACTGGGTATGCGCTCTGTGCCAACGCCTTGTTGATGGTACAACGGTAGTCAGCACAGATGCGCACAGACCCATCATGCTTCAGTGGGGTCACAATGGGGGTCTCCCATGAGGCATGATCGATCGGTTCCAGGACGCCCTGGGCGATCAGCTTATCCAGCTGTTCATCTACTTTAGGCCGCAGGGCAAATGGAACTCGGCGGGGCTTGAGCCTGATTGGGGTGATTCCCTTGTCCAGATTTGTGGCCTCCCCACAAATTTCCCCAGCTTACCATCGAAGACTTCTTTGAACTCTTCGATGATGGAGTCGAGTTCGTCCCTGCGGATCTCGTGGATGCCCTGAAGTGAAAGTCCTAGCGGCTTGAACCACTCCACACCCAACAGGTTCGGTCGGCTGTGCTGCACGATGGTGATGGGTAGCTTTCCGTCGAAGTCGTTGTACTTCACGTGGATGGTGGCTCTGCCTAGGATTTCAATGGGGTTTCCGTTGAAATCCACAAGTCTCGCTTTCGGGGTTTTCAGCTGGGTCCTTTTGTATGCTGGTTTCAGCTGTTGTAGGTGCTGCCAGTCCATGATGGAGTAGGCGGATCCGGAGTCTACCTCCATCTTGCACGGAGACCCCTCTGCTAGCAGCGTCACGTGGAACTTGGTGGTCCCCTCGTCGCTTGTGTGAGCAATGGTGGTGGTCTGGTGCACCGTTCTGTTTCGGGGATATTCCTCCTCCCCGCGCCGGGACTGGTTTGAGGACCATTTGGATGTCCTCTGGTTATCTTTGCGATTTTCCCGGAATCGTGGTCTGGGCGGTTCCGGGGCTGGATCTGTGGCTCTGCAGGCCTTGGCGATGTGCCCCCTCTTCAGGCATCGGCGGCAGGTCGCGTCCCTCCATCTGCAGTTTGCCCTGGGGTGGTCGCCTCTGCAACTGCCGCATCGTTCTCCCCGGTCGCCATGCTGTGGGTTTTCCCGCCTGGGGGGGTGGGAAACCTTGTGGACGGCCCTTTCCTCATCCGACTCGGATTGCGTGGTTGCCTCGTCTGATGAGGTCAGGCCTGACTTGTGGATCTTATGGATCCCTCTTGCTTTTACCATTGCGGCGGCTGCTTGCTCAGATGTTTCAGCCGCTGTTGCTTCGTCGAGGACATCTTTGAGCGGGATCCTCTTCCGGCTGAGGAACTTTTTCTGCAGCCCCACATCTCTCATGCCAAAAACAATGCGGTCTCGGATGGCGTTGTCCACGTTATCGAACTCGCAGTTGGCAGCGAGTTGGCGAAGTGCTGCCACGAATTCCTTGACGGATTCACCTTCCCGCTGGTTCCTTTGCTGGAAGGTGAACCTGTTCGCGATGGGGGTGCCTGTAGGTGCGTAATGCTCCTGTAGGACTTCCTGCAGGTCGTCCCAGGACATCTCCTCAATGTCCCTGGGTGCCACGAGGTCAATCGCCATCTCTAGGACGTCCGATCCGCAATGAGCCAGGAAGAGGGCTCTTTTCCTCTCATCGTCGAGGTTCTGGTATCCATTGCCTCGCAGGAACTGCCGGAATCGGACCATGTATGACCTCCACTTCTCCCGGGCTGGGTTGAATGGGTTCAGCGCGGTCATCGGGGCTTGTGGGGTAGCCATTCTGGAAGTCGCTGTGGTGTAGTGACTTCAGCTAGGTGGGCGATCGTGCCAAGAGTCTTGTTCGGGTTCTTCTCTCAAGTCCTTCGTCACCAGTGTTAGATCAGGCGCAGGAAAAGAAGACTGGACCAGCTCGATACATTTAGCAACTTTTATTCAGTACAAAGTAACGAGTCAAGACTGCTGGCGCGCTGCCGGAGCTCTCCTTATATTCGCTCCCGGCAGACGCACCGCCCCTTGACAGGGATTCAAACTTCCCGCCCGATGGCTGGCAGCCAATCAGGACGGATGTCCTTATAAGGACATAACAACCTTAATTACCTCAATTACTTGTATTAATTAAAAAAAAACTTGCTAATCAAATAACTAATAGAGGGATAACTGCTATGGATGCATTTCTTGTCACTTTTACTATCTAAATCTTTAATAAATTATTCCAGTTTAAATCAGAGAGTCCCTGCTCAGAATCTGAATCAAAATCCTCCCAAATTGTGTTTCCATCCATCCTCACTACCTTTTGTTAATCCCCAAAACAAACAGAGCCATCCAGGCACAAATCATTAAAGTGCTTCTTGACTCTTATCCCATCAGGCACCTTTTTACCAAAACATGGCAGTGGGCATAATTAAAGGGAACTGCACCCTTTTATGTTTGCTCTCGGTTTATCACAGCTTTTATATACTTGCCAAATGTTTCATCTCATATGTATAAAATGTAGGAGAGGAGCAATAACCTTCAGGTCATATGGGATATTGGATTCAAGAGAATAACCTAGTGTTATTCATGAATTACCTTTACTTCATTCAATCTTCTGGCTTTGCCCGCAAAGGCGAGCATTTCCTTCCGCTAGCTTGATGGCCATTGGGTTTTCCATGGATTTATTTACAGCTGTGGCTTGCACTATCAAGCACTATCCTTTCTTTAGCAGAAGATAAAAGATTTTCTAAGATCACCCAAAGTCTGTAAGTGAAGTGTAAGGTTTCAGACTACAATTTTCACACCATTAATCCCTCGCTGGAGCCTTTTAAACTCCTGTCCTCAGGGATTGCCAATCATCTCTAGCAGCAGCAACTCGGAGTAAAAGCTGAATGGCAATAAGCAGAAGTGAGATTTCTTAGCGTTTCTATTCCTTCCCGTTGAGTAAATCAGGATGAGGCTCAGAAGTGTAAGGTGTTTATTTCTTTGCCATTAGCTCTAGGGACAAGCTTAAGTAAGAGAATAAATAAGCTAGTCCCATTTGTTTCTCACTGTCTACTTTCCTCTGTTTAATTCTCACTCTGTGGACTACAACTGTGTATCCGTGGTATCTAGAAGAACTCTCTTTCCTGCTACTCAGTATAATAAGAGCATCACCTTCATTACCTTCTAATCTTTCCCTTTCTGTCTAAATTCAAGATGGGTATACATGTTTTTTACCCAGGGCATCAGCAAGGACACATCTATTTGTGCATCAATTTTTGACCTTCATTCAATATTTATTGGAGAAGTTTGCTCACATTTTCCAGCTCTTCTAGGCAATGTGTCAGATTAGGGAACAGTTGTAATCAGTTCTGGGTTTCTTTTAAAGTAAGAGAAGGACCAAGAATATATACTGTACACCCCACAGCAGCTCTTTCCATATCTCTGAAGTGGAAGCATTAAAATAAATTAACAAATAAAAGTAAAAGTGGTGACCATCCACATTGCTATTTGGAAAATGAAATGTCCAACAATAACTTCTTCCTTTCATTCTAAAATGTTCACACAAAATGTACTTGGTACACATCGGAAATATTTTGGGGAATAAAATTCAGAGTCAATTTCTGTTTTGTTTTCATGTCTATAATACTATGATTTCAAAAGAATAATTTGTTTAAAGTATTTACATATTACAAATGAAGGCAAATATAAGTGTCCCAGAATAATGTTGCAGGATCCAATCTGGGTCGGTCACCGGGACCAAAGGTTTAGTCTTCCGAGCTTTCGGACTTGTGCTGGAACCCATCCTCAGAGAACAACTCTCTACCAGAATGTGTGGTAGAGATTTACATATTTATTTACAATTATTATAGCAGCCATAGGGTCTGGGCAAGAATAAAAGCAGTTAAAAACATATACAGGTGGACTGGACTA